ATAATTATAATGTATTATAATGTATTTCCATTTTTAGTTTACCCAAAAACATAAGCCTGCCCTAGGGAGATTCATCTGTTGTACAGAAATGGTTATATACAAAGAACCTAGAAAATGTGTTTGCTATTTTTAGTATATGTTCTTTGAGACTGAACCGGCTTGCTGTACATATGTTTTTCACAGATATCCATTTTTTTCATTATATGCTGTAAAGTATAAGCATTATATACTAATGCACTAAATGGCAACTTAGTACTTAATGACTATACTGCTTTGTTTAAATATCCCCCCCCCTTCCCCACACACACACACACTTAGACCTTTGCACATTTTCCATTTTTGCAACCTGGAATTGAAATTGATTTTATTGTGATGTAACCATCTGATTCATATAACATAGCTAATACTCTGAATTCTGTACAGTTAAACAATATAAATGAAATGAAACTTTTAAATAAGTTCTGACCAATTAATAAGCTTCAGAAATCACATAATTAGTTGGATGGAGTCTGTCTGTGTACTTTTGAAGTGTCTTATAATTATATTATATAAACACTCTTATTTCTGAAATGTCCCAAAACTTTGATAGAGAGAAGATAATTAAAAAAAGGTTTAGTGAAGAACAAGAGCTGTCAAACCAAATCCAGTATAAACATCTGGAAAATTGTTATTTAGGCTTCGGTTATACAGAAATATAGATAAATAAAAAGTTTAACATCCACATATCACTGTTTAATTTATTATTAAAAAAAGCTAAGAATAATCAAGTTCCTTTAAAACATATCAAATCAAATTTGAAGTTTGACAAAAGAAAGGATTGAGATGAACCAAATATGTGGATAATTGATATCTAATCTAAAGAAACCTAATGTATATTTTTGTGGTCTTACGACAAAACTATGTGTGAAGCTATCTCTGTCAATCACCATTTCATAGTAATTTAAAACTAAAACTGCCAGAAATTGGAGGTGCACTCTACAAACGGAAGGCACAACTTTTCAGGTGTCAAAAAAAAACACACTACACAACAAAAGTGTAAGCAAGTGTTAATGCACTTTTGTTTTAATACAGTATCACACATTATTTCTTCATAAGTGTGATTTGCATATACATGTAAAAAAAAAAGTCTATATCCGAAGTGAATTAGTTGAGCTGGCCACTCACATACAGTAGAGCTCAATCGTGACTCTATGTGCAACATATCAATCACTTTGCTTCTACTGAAAGGAAGGATTGTTTCCTCCATGATATGGACCTCCTTCTCTCCTTAATAACAGAAATAGTAAAATAATAGTTACAACATAAGATATGAAATACAGTAGAAGTGTAAGGACAGAGAGGGTAAACCAAAATCTGTACTTATCTTGTGATGGAGCAGCAAAGAAAGAGGAAATGATGTCATATGTCACGCCTCTTATACTCTATACTGCATTGTGATTGGTTCTCAGTTATGTCACTCTTTTCTTTGCTGCTATGGAGTTAGTAAAGAAAGATTATGCAAAATACAAAACCTCCTGTCATGTGATAAAATTTAGGTTAAAAAAAAACAACAAAAAAAACACTTTAGTCCATAGAGTACAAACTTCAAAACAAAACTTTGTTTTCTGTTGATCCAAATAAGGCAAAATCATTTGAAGCATTGGCCAATTATGCCACAAAAAAAGGGGGTAAATGCCTTCTTGAATCCAACATGTTCATATACATATTAATTATATCCTAGAATGATTTATATTCCAGAAAGATACCCTGGCGCATATATATATATATATATATATAATTGGCAGCACTCTGAGAACTTCCAAAAAAAAGAGCCTTTACTAATACATGTCCAACAAAATTGACATTTTAACACTATATAAAAGCTGCACAAACAGACTCCAAGCATGACTGCTTCCAATCCCTGATTCTGGTGTAACTGGTCATGATTCTTGGTGTAACCTTCTTAAAGTAAGCTGTTTATTGGGTGTACATACATTTGCAGAATAACCATGGCAGCAAGGTCTTTTCTTGAATGTTGTGTGTTTATTTTATAAAATTTTTACTGTGAAAATGTGATTGTTTTCTCTCCAGACACAAGTTCAATAAGCTTGGATTTATCGACTTCATTTACCATTACTGTAAATATTGCATGAATATACAGCCTTGCGCTACATAAATAATCCATATTAATGATGAATAACCTTTGGACTATAATGTATCTTAAATAGATAAGTATCTCAATGCAGAATTTTCATTGAAAAGTATTTTATTAAAATAAATCTGATTTAAATCAAAAAAGTCAAAAATTTTATTTTAAAAAAAGTCATCAATTTTAACCACTCTGATCTCTTGTCTTAAGAAAGAGAACACTGAACACCCCAAAAGTTGTACTCAATCAAGTATGCCATTTTGAGTACTATTTCCTACCGGCACTTTTAATGTTTCAGAATTTGTTTGACTTTTCCCAGCAGAGTTTTACCCTCTAAATAAAACATTTTTTCATTCACTTTATGACACAATCAATCTTAATGTGTATACCCTGCCATGCATACGAAAATGCACTCACAATAGCGCATGTTCATGTGTTTACAATATAAGAACAAAGCTAAGCTTAATACTCCATGTTTGAGCTGCATCACATAAGATATTGATTGGTTGGCTATCCGTGGTGAAACTTGAAGAGTCCCTAGATAACATGTAAACTAATTGCATGCTCTTAAATAGAAATTCTGAAGCTATCAAAGGAGAGCAACAGATTGAGAGGGAATAAAGACAATAAACGGTGTGCTCAAAACTGGAAATGTAGGATTTCACCTAACCCTATATAAGAGACAAAATTCAAACCACCCTAAGGTGCAGGTATCCAGGAGCTTAAAGCGGCACTGTCATGCCGAAACCCGTTTTTTTTTTAACCCCCCTCCCGCCTCCACTACATCCAATTGACCCACTAGTCACCCCCAAATGCCCCTAAGCCCCCCACATGACCTATTTTTTAATCCTTATTTTCTGCCCCGATCTTGATTCAGGGCGCCGCCATCTTTGTGTGGGTAGGTGAAGTCCCTGTGGGACACGTCATCAGCCCACACTAGGCAGACACTGAGATTCCCGCACATACCCAGTGAAACACCTGGACATGCGAACGGGAATTTCATCTATTCATTCATTCATCAGACAGACGAATGAGTGAATAGAAATATCAGCCGAACAAACAAACACAATGTATCAGTGTATGTTTGTTCGTGCAGTTTATTACAAGGAGGGAGCTACCGGCGTGCAGCTCCCTCCTTGTAATATGTAACTATAGAAGCGGCAGGGAGCAGTGCTCCCCACCACTTCATAAGCCCCCCAGTACCCCCTCTCACTCTATGGGGGTCAATATGACCCCCATAATAGCACAAGAGAGATTTAAATCTCCCAAATGCCCCTACTCACTATACCGCGAGTAGGGGCATGTCTACTAAACAGTGAGCAGCCTGTGGCTGCTCACTGTTGAAAAAAAGACATAAATTACA